TGGTGCGAATAACACGAATGTTGAAGAAAGAAAGGTTTAGACGTTTATGTTGTCTTTGGTGAGCTTGTTTACTTGTATATCGTTTGTGGATTTTAGTCTTGATATTGTTTTAAGGTTGAAAAGCTAAGAATAATAGTAGTTGTCTCTCGTCTAACGTGATATTTACTCACTGGGAATTTGCGCAGACTTCAGCATAGTGTGGCCTCACAATTTTCCATGTGCGACAGGATAAATTGCAACTGTTGATCAGAGTTGACTCTCAATATACTCTCCAAGATTTTGGACTCCTGACTGCCATTCAAGATTCAACAGCTAGATTCCTGACCCAGTACACTCAGTTTAAAGTGCCGTAGCTACCATCCATTCATTTCACCAACGTATAATAATAGCCACCTCTATTAAGGCCTCAGAAGAAGGAAAATAGAAACTTGGTCCTAAGTAGGAAACAAGGGATAATCCTCTGATCCTGTTCAAAAGAAGAAGGAGTATGAGCTGGGTAATAGGTAGACCTATCTACCCCTATTAAAAGAAAACAACAACAATAAAAAAACGGAAACAATAATGAGAGACACAACACAAATATTAAGTATTAGCTAATGAAGACGAAATATTAATCGTTGAAATAAATTCAGGTGAAGAATTAAGAGAGTGAGATTCCAGCGGACAAATCCCAGAATTCTGCATTCCAATTTAAGTATTTTCCAAGATAGTCTGTAAGTATATTTATTAAGCGGCATATCAACACTTTATGGGTCATTTAAGATTATGCAAGCCAAATACATAATGAGGCTACATTTGTCATATAATACAAGAAAATATTGCAAAAATACTGGATGTGGCAGAAATAGCTCCCACATATACCCCCGACAAATACCTCGCCCTTAGTGATAAGATATTAGTGGCAATCGTGTCTTCATCTAGCTAATGTCTTACCATTATATAGCAGGTATATCTGGGAGGTATTTCGGATGCACTCTCTGTTAACAAAGAACTTTTTTTAGCCGGTGACAGAATTATTTTCGAAAGATATAAATCATGTGGAAATGAATATTAATAACTGTTATTTTAAACATAAAAAAAATTAAATGTTTTTTTTTTATTCGATGGCGTGTTGGTTGCAGCTGCTGGACGTACAAATGTGTAAATAGTATTTTGATTATTTTTTAAGTATTTTAAATGCATAAAACCCCAACAAACCTACCACAGGCACACGACATTATCTTTCTTCTATGGGTTTCAACATTTGAGATTGGTTGTGACCATTCATCCTCGTTAAACCATATTCATTTGCGTTGAATATAGTCGTAGGTAATCCATTATTTATCACCTGTTATGATATATTTATGTAATGATTAATTAAATTGACACATTTCTCATTACAATTATTTTACAAAAACACAACTTACTTATACGAAGTTTGATTAAAATGTATCGGGATTGTTGCTATTGTAACGAATATGAAGTCTGAAAACATAAGCCTGTTGGTAGAGATAGACCGTCAAAGGTGTCGAAGTTATAGCGTTTTCGCACAGTTTTGTTGCTTTTAGCAGTGGTTGGTAAGAAAGTGTGTAGAATATGGTCGTCTCACCATACCAGGTGTTGTATGAGTGACCATTGCTTCTAAAGTAGTTTTGGGCCAAGACGTCTTTCACGGAATGTGACAAGCGCCATATTACCACAGATTTCGCACCTTGTGATATTTTTTTCCTGTTTCCAAGAACCTAATTCCACCTGAAAGATAAAAAATTCAGGGTTGAAGAAATCCAAGCGAATGGCACGCGGCCGTTGATTGCTATGTAAATAAAGGAGTTCTGGAAATGTTTCGATCAATGGAAAAAAAATGAATGGATAAAGTGTATAACATCAGAAGGGACTTGTTCAAAGGAGATTAAATGCGGAATGGATATGAGTTGCCGTCCGAATACTTTATAATCACATCTCGTATTTATTGTATTTTAATCTATTCTAGATTATCCCTCGTGGAGAAGTTAATCTGATATACAGGGTGTCCATAAAGTTCATGTGCACTTTAAAGAATTTGTAACTTTATTTGTATTTGCGATAGAAATAATCTGTAAAAAATGTTATAAAATTTAATATGCCTAGTTTTAAGTATAGATAAAATAACGAATGTGATTTCAGGCATTACTGTAAATCAGTTGGCAAATGTTTTCCGTGAACTGCAAAATCGTATTACCCTTTGTATTGCTAATGATGGAGGACATGTGGAAACTTAAATAAAATTTCAATAAAACCTTAAAAAATATAGATTTACTTCTTTCTAATCCTTTTTACGAATTATTTCTATCGCAAATACAAATAAAGTTATAAATTCTTTAAAGTGCACATGAACTTTATGGACACCCTGTATTTGAGTCCATAAAAATTGACTTAGTTCGGAAATAAGGAAGGAAGGAAGGAATGAAGGAAATCGTATTAACTTTTGTATTGCTAATGATGGAGAACATGTGGAAACTTACATCAAATTTACATACAACCTTTAAAATATATAGATTTACTTCTTTCTAATCCTTTTTACAAATTCTTTCTATCGCAAATACAAATAAAGTTATAAATTTTTTAAGTGCACACGAACTTTATGGACACTGTATATTATCTATTATTTCATAAGAAATATGCCGTCTTTTCATCCCCCTCCTTATCAGCATCATTACAATCGTGACACAAGAGTAATTATAACCGTAGCTTTTGCCGTCCCTGTATTAATTCTACCAGCCGATGAAGTTGAAGTGGCAAGGCTAATATTTTTCCCATTATTATTATGATTGTATTAACAACCCTTGACGCATTAACGTCATCGGCCCATAGTTAATTAAAAGAGCATTGCTTTTTTTTTTCGTCTTTTCTTTTTGTCTTTTCTTCTTTTTTTTCCAGGCGAATTCTCTATCGGACCTAAGTCCTGCCACTCGACCCACATCAACATTTCGACTCAACCCGATCGTGTCAAGCCTTACCTCGAGTACACTTCGATTACCGGCCCGAAACCTACAGCGGATGGCGAATTATGTGTCTTAGAAATCGATTAACCGACTTTAGATGTGAGAATAATCGATTACGCAAAAAGAAAAGAATGAAAAATGAAATTGTTAAAGGTGGTCATTTTTATGGATTGATCGAAAGCGGCAATCTGATCAGATTATTAAAAATAGGTTTGGTGGCCTGTTTCATTCACAAGACAGATGGTGTGTTTGATAGATAGATAGATAGATAGATAGATAGATAGATAGATAGATAGATAGATAGATATGAAAAGAATAACATAGATAGATAGGTAGATAGATATAAAAAAGAATAGCATAGATAGATAGATAGATAGATAAATAGATATAAAAAAGAATAGCATAGATAGATAGATATGAACAAACAGTCTACGGAGTAATAGTTCAACTTCATATCTCAACATGATCGAATTATCGCTCTTTTTCAATAGATAATTTGATAATATCGATATATGATGCTGTGCAAGTAAGATACATATGAAGCTGAATATATATATATATATATATATATATATATATATATTTATAAAACATTTTTATGTTTATACATTATTTTTATAGATACAAATATTTAAGCAAATGCTCTCTTTTATAGTAAACAGTATTAAACAACATTTACCGACCTGAATGTCCGAAAAATTTTCATAGAAAATGTTCGTCCTCCGACAGGAATCGAACTTGTATCCTATACGGAAACGTCATATGGCCTGATGTGCCTTAACCGTTTTGGCCACAGAAGACCGTCCGGTTAGCAAGGTCGATTTTACTGTCTTTAACCGAACGAATTGTAGGATGAAATAGCTATACTAATGGAGTAATTTTGAATTTTTATCTATGTACTTCATTTATGTATATATGCTCTGTTATAATAAATACATTTACCTCTCTCTTTGTGGATCGGTGTTATATTTTATATTATTAGGCTTCACTTGGATTATATACCAAACGGATTATTACCTCTCTCTCTCTTTCTCTCTCTCTCTCTCTCTCTCTATATATATATATATATATATATATATATATATATATATATATAGATAGATAGATAGATAGATAGATAGATAGATAGATAGATAGATAGATAGATAGATGATTGTGCAGAAATACCTATGTTAATGCGGTTAATGCGTACAACGGTAAATATAAAAAAAATCAATTTCTATTACTATGGTTAAACTGAAGTATGGTTTACCGCACTAATTGGGTAGTAACTATGCATTAAACTAATTTTGTTATATAAAAATTGTAGCATACTATCCGAAAATGCATTAAGCGAATGCACATTAATCGAGTAATGCCTGTATATATAATTTATTCTTCTATACATCTATGTAATAAACTCTACCTTTAAATTGACCAATCCCAGTAGATTTTAGAAAGTGCCTAAGACCATGACCGTCGAGCAATATTCTTATATATTATTTTGAAGCGATATAAAAGTCTTACTAAACTACTGCAGTTTCCTTTCTCGGATCTTCAAGCTTGTTCGTTTTTATTCCTATATATTCCGCCATTTGCATTTAAATATGCCGCACTTTCAAGGTCCGTTTGGGAGTTTGAAAAACAAAAAACAAACAATCAAATGAAAAATAATCAAGAAAAAGAACGAGAGTTTTGCAGGTTTTGATTGAAGGACAAATTAGCAATAATACAGTAGCCAGGAATTTGTTAATCAAGAGATCTGCGATTTTAAATGAAATACATAGTAGAAATGTCCTACCGACCCAGATTAAGAGAAAAATAAAAAGTAACACAAACCGAACTGTGAAAAATTAAATCAGAAAATTATTTGTTTTGTTTTGCAACATAAAGTATTATAGGTGAGGTGTATTTAAATATAACGTCACAAAATACATAGTAAAATCAACTGAGCCTGAGGATCCGAGGTTTGAAACAGCGGAAACTTGGCTTGGCTTGGTTTGGTTTGGTTCACGTCATATCAACATCAATAGGTTATTTAATGCCGACATTTTATCTATCTTGGTCTCTTCGTGTCTATCTGTCGCTTTTGATGCCTTCACATCTATCTATCTATCTATCTATCTATCTATCTATCTATCTATCATAGATTGTTTATATCTATCTATCTATCTATCTATCAAAGACTGTTCGCATCTATCTATCTATCTATCTATCTATCTATCTATCTATCTATCTATCTATCTATCTCAGTCCGTTCATTATCTATCTATCTATCTATCTATCTATCTATCTATCTATCTATCTATCTATCTATCTATCTATCCCAGTCCGTTCATTATCTATCTATCTATCTATCTATCTATCTATCTATCTATCTATCTATCTATCCCAGTATATATTGGTTTGGTTCGTTTTGTTTTATGGCATATCAACCTCAATGGGTTATTTAATGCCGACAAGATTTTTATTGCTGTAATAATTTTTCCAAAAAAAGGAAAAAAAAATAAAAATAAAAATAATTGTGAAAAATTAAATCAGAAAATTATTTGTTTTGTTTTTCAACATAAAGTAGTATAGGTGAGGCGTATTTAAATATAACGTCACAAAATACATATAACTCAGCCTGAGGATCCAAGGGTTGAAAGAGCCTTGGCTTGTTTTACGGTATATCAACCTCAATGGATTATCTAATGCTGACAAGATTTTTATTGCTGATAATATCTATCTATCTATCTATCTATCTATCTATCTATCTATCTATCTATCTATCTATCTATCTATCTATCTCAGTGTAGGTTGGTAAACAGTGCCTATTATAGCTATATAGCGAGACTCTTCGCAGATGCGAATTGAGTCACTGTCGGTCACTGGGCGTGTTTCTAAAAATAAATACGCTAAAAAATCCACTTACGTCCCTACCGTGCACCGACGGCTTAATCGTTAGAATCTCCGACTGACACCAATTCAGTCGAGTTTCGATCCTGGCTAGAGGCAATCGGATGTCTAGCCACACTGATGAGCTGCGAAACAGTCTGTCTGTGGATGACGTTATATATATATATATATATATATATTTACGGTATGTCCACTCAATGGGATATCTAATGCCGACAAGGTTTTTATTGCTGTAATAATTTTTCCAAAAATGTATTGCTGGTAATATTTTTTTTTCATTTTTCAAAAAATAGTTGGTAATAATGTATTGCTGGTAATCATTTTTTTCTTCAAAAAATTATTGCTGGTAATAATTTTCTCACAAGAAACATATTTTTACAATTTCATAGTGTTTTGACAAGAGTTTGTGGGTTAACTATTTGCCCATAGATAGGACCCTGACAGGTGCCACCGCTACGGGTCAGGGTGGACCTGGGAACACCAGCAATTAAGAGGGGGTTCCACGTTCTTCAAAACCTCCTGATCAGAGGCCTTGGCTGTTGGACGTAGTTTATGGTCATACCCAGGACGCGGATGTAGTTTATCGTCATACCCAGGACGAACGGAAGCTTGGTATATTAATTAAAAGGAACAACATATGGGGCATGTGAAAAGAAATTTTGAAAAAAATACAAGAATACGGGCTCAAACTCAGTGAGGAAACGTCCGAATTAATTTTGCCTAAAATCAAGTACCTAGAACAAATCACTGACAAAAATGATCGTCAACCAGATCCGTCGAAGGCAAGTACAATTAAAAATATGCCTCCTCAAACAAGTGTAAACTAAGTTAAAAACATTTCTAGCAAACTATTATCAAATCTATATATCTAATATGCAAAATTTGAGAGCTCCATTGAACAATGTGCTTTAAAAAATGGAAATAGACTAATAAGTGTGAGGTGGAGTTTAAAGAAATCAAGAAAATACTAACGTCAGATTATTATTAGCGCACTACGATTCAAAAGCAGAAATTGTATTGGCTTCAGATGCTAGTGACTATAGTATCGGAGTAGTAATTCTATATATGATGACGGTAATATTATACAATATGGTACGCGAACTACAAGATAACCTGGAAGAAATACAAGTAAATAAAGAACTCGGAATGTTTATTTTGAAAATAAAAACGAGTAAAATAAAGTAAGAAAGACAGACGATATTTAGAAAGTAATCAAGACTTAAACGATTACTCGCTATGTGACTGAGTACTGATGTTTGCGAAAAGAGTAGTAATACATAACATACGCGGATATAAAATGAATTTCTGCTGTGGCCTGTTTAGGAACCAGAAAGAAAGTCAGGGAAGACGAAGGTAGGTTTAACAAGTTTATTGAAATAACAGATATATACAAAGCAAGAGTTTTAGTTATAAGCAGATAGAGGTGTACGTCCGAATGGTAGGTTAACACTCCGCTGGCCTACGACTTTTCCTTAGGAAGTCTCGCAGTTAGGATTTATGAAAGGAGGAAGAAAAATGAAAATATTGACTCGAAAACAATCGAATTCGATGTGCTCATAGCGAGAGTATTTTCCTTCCTTTTTTTGACAAAATTTACGTCTATTTTCTTCGCTTCAAACCCGACAAATCTTGAGAAAATGTTTAAATATTTTATCATTTGTTT